TCGCTTAACCAACTGAGCCACCCAGGCGCCCAGTACCATCTTCTTTTAATACCATCAATTGATTGACATCTGGGCTCTTTCCATAGTTTGGCTATTGTGAACATTGCTGCTATAAATGTTGGGGTGCATGTACCCCTTTGAATCTGTATTTTTGTATCCTTCAGGTAAATACCTAGTAGCGCAGTTGCTGCGTCATAGGGTAGCTGTATTTTTAACATCTTGAGGAGCCTCCAAACTGTTTTCCAGAGTGGCTGTACCAGCTTGCATTCCCCTCAACAGTGTAGGAGGGTTCCCCTTTCTCCACATCCTCGCCAACATCTCTTGTTTCCTGACTTGTTCATTTTTGCCATTCTGACCCATGCGAGGTGGTATCTCATTGTGGTTTTGATTTGTATTTCCCTGATGCCAAGTAATGTTGAGCATTTTCGCAAGTGTCTGTCAGCCACCTGTATGTCGTCTTTGGAAAAGTGTCTATTCATGTCTTCTGCCCATTTCTTAACTGGATTATTTGTTTTTTGGGTGTTGAGTTTGATAAGCTCTTTATAGATTTTGGAAACTAACCCTTTATCCGATACATTGTTTGCAAATATCTTCTCCCATTCTGTAGGCTGCCTTTTAGTTTTGTTGATTATTTCCTTTGCTGTGCAGAAGCTTTTTATCTTGATGAAGTCCCAGGAGTTGATTTTTGCTTTTGTTTCCCTTGCCTCTGGCGACGTAGATGACCAATTCTGGATGGAAATGAAATTCGCAAGGAAGCCAAGAGGCTGCCCCACTTTTCTTTTAAATTTAACCTATTTGCAGATTTGCAGTTGGCTTTGGACCAAACCTTTTTGACTGTTAGCTGGTCTTTTGGTTTTGTATATTTTTTTGCTTAACATATATCTTAAAAGGTGAGTGTTTTTAAATTTAGTATTATTCTGTGAATATGTATATATGGTGCTACACCATTTTCATATCTATGTGTCTTTGGGCCATATAATCTTCCAGGAGATTTACTCTAATTTCTCAGTCATTTCCCTCTTTAAAATTATCTTAGATTACTACCTTAAAAGAAAATTTTTAAAAAATATTTTATTTATTCATTTGAGAGACAGAGACAGAGATAGCGACAGAGAGAAGGAGTGGGGAGGGAGAAACAGGCTACCTACTGAGTAGGGAGCCCAACACAGGACTTGATCCCAGGACTCTGGGATCATGACCTGAGCTGAAGGCAGACGTTTAACTGACTGAGCCACCCAGGTGCCCCTTAAGTTTTTTTTTTTTTAAAGATTTTATTTATTTGACAGAGAGACAGTGAGAGAGGGAACACAAGCAGGGGGAGTGGGAGAGGGAGAAGCAGGCCTCCCGTGGAGCAGGGAGCCCGATGCGGGGCTCGATCCCAGGACCCTGGGATCATGACCTGAGCCGAAGGCAGACGCTTAACGACTGAGCCACCCAGGTGCCCCAAGTTTTTTTTTTTTTAAGATTTATTTATTTATTTGAGAGAGAGAGAGCATGTGCGTGAGCTGGGGGAGGGACAGAGGGAGAGAGCCTTCAAGCAGACTCCCTGCTGAGTGTGGAGACTGGCAGCGGCTCGATCCCACCACCCCATAAGATCATGACCTGAGCCCAATTCAAGAGTTGGACTCTAAGGCCACCCACGTGCCCCTTCCTTTTAAAATTTTTTGATGTCGTAATAATGGTGTGGCTAATATCTTTGAGCAGAAAGCTCTTGTGTTCTTTTGAGAAATTTCTTTAGTCTAAATTCCCAGGAATGGAATAAAGGATATAATCATTTTATGATTAGTAGCCACATTCAAGATATTTCTGCTATTTTCTGAGTGTGTCCTGTCCTTAGAACCTTCCTAGCATCATATTTTAATTTCTCACTTTTGGCTTTTACTTGTTTTTAGGTGAGAGTGGCCCTCCTTTCTTCTTTGCATTGGGTGGGCCCCTGCTGGGTCCTCACGGCTCTGCCCTGCTCGGCAGGTGGAGGAACATGTCAGCCGCATCCGCGAGGAGCTGGACCGTGAACGTGAGGAGCGCAACTACTTCCAGCTGGAGCGGGACAAGATCCACACCTTCTGGGAGATCACGCGGAGGCAGCTGGAGGAGAAGAAGGCCGAGCTGCGGAACAAAGACCGGGAGATGGAGGAGGCTGAGGAGAGGCACCAGGTTGAGATTAAGGTAAGTGGGGCTGACCTGCCCATCCCTGCTGGACTTACCACATGGAACAGAGGAGCTGCACAAGGGGTGGGGGGCATTTTCTCTCCTTCCTCTGGGGGTTGCAGGGCTTTGTATCCTTTACAGTGGGAAACAAAGGTATTTTTTGTAGAAGGGTATGTGTGTGCAGGGGAGCCCGCATGTGCCGGTGTGTGTGTGTGAGTGTGCAGGGGAGCCCGCATGTGCACGTGTGTGTGAGTGTGTGCGGGTGCGTGTGAGAGAGTGTGCAGGTGAGCAGGCGGTGCTCCCGCTGCGCACAGGTCTACAAGCAGAAGGTGAAACACCTGCTGTATGAGCATCAGAACAACTTGACGGAGGTGAAGGCCGAGGGCGCCGTGGTCATGAAGCTGGCGCAGAAGGAACACCGCACACAGGAGGGCGCACTGCGCAAGGACATGCGGGCGCTGAAGGTGGAGCTCAAGGAGCAGGAGCTGACCAACGAGGTGGTGGTGAAGAACCTGCGGCTGGTAGGTGTGAGGGTCCCCGGTGCCTGACTGGCCGCTGGGAACTGTGAACTCCTGATTATTCAACACAACTGGGGATTCATGTTTTGTTAGAAGTTCCCTGCATTTTGGCAATTAATTAAAATATTAAAAAAAAAAAAAAAGCAGGCAGCCAGACAAATCCCATTTGGGAGCCAAGTATAGAATCGTGTCTTAGACTTGAACAACAAATTGACTTCCCAAGAGGAAAGCCAGCTCAGGGTCCGTCTCCACGTGCTGCTGACACCTGGCTGTTCTCCCAAGGAGTCTGTCGGGCGTTTAGAAATACACACAACCGTTAAGGTGTCCAGCATGCTAGCCCCTGTGTGGCCGTGGCAGTTCTCATGCAAGCTGGGCTCATGAGCACCTGGCTGACTTTTTGGTCCTTTCTGGGGGAGGCTGGGGGAGGTTCCAGGTGGAGGTTGAAATTCATGTGCTGAGTGCCCATAAGGTGCCAGGCCCTGTTCTGATCTCTGGGGACATACGGGGAACAGAACTGACAGAATGACTGCCCACGTGTGTTTGATGGGTCCAGGAAGGAGAGAGAAGACAGAATAGAGGTTGAATACATCTAGCATACCCACAGGTGGGAATGCTGCGGGAAGGGCAAAGCAGGGAAGATGGTGCTGGGGATCGAGGCGGGGCTTGCATTTTTCCACAAGGAGTTCTGGGAATGCCTCACTGAGAAGGTGACATTTGGGCAAAGGTTAGAAGGATGGGTTGCTGAGCCAGGCTTGGGGAGACCAGGTCTCAAGAAGGGAGAGGGGATGGGCCAGTGTGAAGGCCCAGAGGAAAAGGGGGCAAGGAGGCCGGGGAGATGGATCAGGGCTCGTCGGCATCAAAAGCCACAGTGAGGCTTAGCCTTTGACCCGGGCTGAGCTGGGGGACCTTTGGAGGATTTGGGCAGAGGGAAGATGTGTCCAACTTTGGTTTTCTAAGGCCCTTTCCTGGCTGCGGGTTGAGAAGACTTTGTCAGCACATTTGCCTCATGCCTGGAGGCAAGCCAGCCTCCACTGAATCTGGAAAAAATTCAGTAACGGTGCAGGCTTTGCAGCCTTGGTCCACAAGAATTGTCTGGTCTTTGCTGACCCAAGTACAGCCTGGGCTGGTTTCCAGTGAATTTAGTGACGTGAGGCTGTCTGCTTACCTGAGGCCTGGATTTGGAATAGTTACCTGGTCAGTTCCCCTTTGTGCAAAAATACTCCTCTAAAAAATAAGCTCAATTTTTTATTCAAAATGTTTATCTATAACTGTCAGAATAATTTTTAATACTGCTCTAAGCCACCACTGGAGCAGGTTAGCAGGCATCTGGAGAGAACCCGCAGCTCTGTGTAGACATGGCCAGCGGTCTCCAGCCTGTGGGCAGATTGAGCCAAGGGCCAAGCACGGTTAGTGTTTGGAACATGTGTTCACTTTCTCTCGAGCTCCGAGGGGACTTTGGCTGAGGGAATTGATTCGTGAAACATGGAAGTTACCAAAACCACGTTACTCTGAGCATGGTGCATGAGCTTGGCCATGAGGGGAACCCAGCACCCATCAGAAACAGCGCAGGGTTTACTGAGCTGGATTTTCCATACTACTGAGGAGCCAGGCCAGCCCCAGGGAGAGGCTTCTGTGTGTGTCTGTCACCTGGTAACGGCCGGCTTCTCTGCCTTTGCAGAAGCACACGGAGGAGATCACCAAGATGCGGAACGACTTTGAGAAGCAGGTGCGAGGTCAGTTTCTAATGTGCACACTGTGTGAGATGGTGACAGGGCCCCTCCCGTCGGAAGGTCATTTACCTTCAGGGCTTGTTACCCCAGGGCACAGAAACCAGGTTGAAGCGGCCCAGACACGCCAGGAGAAGATGTGATAGTTTCCAAGGCTGACGGACGGCTCAGAATCCCAGAACATCTTATTTCCACACAAGCTGGGAGGCTGTGATTGCCACCTCCTTCCCCACTTCTGGTACAAATCGGCAGATAGAAGCAGTGGCAGTTTTGAGTCTCGTGGGCAGTATTCCTAGAATAGTCTTTTCCACGGCTGCTGGCCTGAGGGGCCTCCCGTTTGAGGAGTCTGTCTGGTTTACTGATGCAGCTCGTCGTCCGGCAGGCTGACCACAGGATCAGCTGACGCTCAGTTGGTGGGAACCCTAATGCCGGGAGCCATGCCTGCTCCAGGCAAAGGAAGGCCGACCGTGGTGTGTGTGTGCTGAATGCGTCAGCTGTGAGCTTGGGTGCACAGCCCTCGTGCTGGTGGCTGTTCTTGGGCCATGTCTGTCAGTTCCGTCTCTTCCTGTAGCCATTGGGCCCCCTGTTCCTCCGTGTGCTTCTGCCTTTCAGAAATTGAGGCCAAGTATGATAAAAAGATGAAGATGCTTAGGGAGGAGCTTGACCTGCGGAGAAAGACCGAGATCCATGAGGTGGAGGAGAGGAAGAACAGCCAGATCAACATGCTGATGCAGCGGCACGAGGAAGCGTTTACGGACATCAAGAACTACTACAATGACATCACCCTCAACAACCTGGCCCTCATCAACTCCCTCAAGGTGCCGCCCAAGGGCTGGCCAGACCAGGCATCCAGATGCTAGCCCCCAGCCCGTCGGGCCCCACACCCCTACGTAGACAAATACCTGTTGTCCTTGATGGGACTTCATCGGTCACATGACCTCTGCACCCTTACAGCTGGAAACAGCACATAGTACCCAGTGCAGGGGGCTAATGGAACAGGGGCACCTGCCGGGCAGAAGCTTGCGCAGAGCTGCGGTGGGAGCCGCAGGGTGGCCCCACGGGCGGCGGTGTCATCAGGCAGGGGCTGGGAGTGACTGTCCCCGCCGCGGGGAGCGCCCCCCGGTCCTGAGCACAGTGTGACCTCTGTTGGTGTGGAGGCGGCATTCCTAGAAAATTCAGAATAAGTTCAGATAGTGCAGAATTCCCCTGTGTGGATACATAAAACGGGTCTGGGACTTCAGGACTGTCCTTTGTGGGCGGGAGGGCCCGCGGCCCTCACCCCTGAAGACCACAGCCCCCTCAGCTCTGCCCGCTGAACCCCGTGCACACCTGTCCTGGTGCTGACAGGAGCAGATGGAGGACATGCGCAAGAAGGAGGACCACCTGGAGAAGGAGATGATGGAGGTGTCCGTGCAGAACAAGCGCTTGGCAGACCCCCTCCAGAAGGCTCGCGACGACATGAACGAGATGCAGAAGAAGCTCAGCAACTACGAGAGGGACAAGCAGATCCTGCTTGTGAGTTTCCTCCTCAGTTCCCCTCCCTCGCACTTTCTCCTGGGCTCCGGACAGGAGAACATCAGCAGGATGTCTCCTGAGACCCAGAGCAGGGTTTGGCCTTCTGGGCAGGAACGGGGTCTCTCCTTTCTTTGACTGGTGTCCTCCGTGGATGGGATGTGAAGTTGGTGCCTGTTCTGGGAGACATTCCCCACCCCCAGCCTGCTGTTGTCGGGGCACAGCTGCCTGTGTCTTTGAGCCAGTTCTTCCTCCCTCCTCCCTCCTCCTCCCTCCTCCTCCCTCCTCTTCCGTCCCTCCCTCCTTCCTTCCTTCTTTCTTT